ACTAGTTGTGAGAAGTACTAGTTGTGAGAAGACTGTTCTGTTCATCTCCACTGACTAGTTTTGGATCTGTTGCTGCAAGTCAGTTGACCATAAATGTATGGTTGTATTTCTGGAATTTTTGTGGATTCCGTCTTAGATCAGTATAGAACCACAGGATGTTTTATTTGTATTATTTTCTTTGATTGGTTTATTAGAGAACACTAGTAAAACATTGTAGGAAACATCGAAGACTTTTCATTGCTCTTTAAAAGGACTGTTGTTTGTTGTTAAGTGTTGTAGAGTCGTTTCCGACTCACGGCAACCTTGTAGTTCAAATCGACTTTCAGTCTAGTGCTTATCTTACCTCACACCACACCAAGACTCCTTAAAAGAATTGATAGGTAGTTAGTCATATCATTATGACATCATAGGTTTTATATTTTTGTTTATTGCAATGTTTGGTTCTTTTGATATTTTTCAATATTGAAAATAAATTCATCTTCAGTGGTAGAATGGTACCTCCTGAAAATTCTGCTTATTTCTCAAAAGTCATTCTGACTTACATGAGCCATGGTAACTATGCAGTAAGTGGTCTGTGAGGGAGGGGAGCATTTCACACACAGAAACAAGCAAGTGCTACAGATTATAGTAGTTTTTGCTCTTCTCTGTAAGTCAGTTAGTTAACGTTTATCAGCATAGGACTGCTAATAACCATCAAGACCTTTTTAGATGTACGGTAAACTTAATTTTAAATCTTATCTTATTGAATTAATACGGTGGGATGTAGGATAACTAATAAGACAAATAAGAAGTCTAAGGTTTCTTACAAGTAAATCAAAAGTTTCATCATGATTTTCTAAGCCCAATAAAAACTTCTCACATATACAAAATGTACAGTATCCACACGTGATAGATCCATTAGCTAAAAGCTAGCTGTGACACAGATATTTATGCTTTGGGCCCTTATGAAAGCAGAAGAGCCTAGTGGGTAACCAACAGGTTTTCAGTAAAAAATGGTGCACTTTCATAGGACCCTTTTTTCAAAGTTTGCCAGTGCTGGTGGAGAACATCGATGTAAATTGCAGGTCTGTAGAAGCCATTTGACAAAGAGCCAGAACCATGCAGTCAGCATGCTGCCACGGTATTTCCAGATTTATTTAAGCATAAAATGGGAAGAATCTAGATGACTCTCATTTCATTCACTATACGTCTTTGGGCTAGTCCTTGCTTTCACAGTCATATAGGTTTAACATTCTCGTGAGAGACTTGTAAAGAAAAGTTATCCGTTAAGACAACTGCTATGAAAGGAATCATGGCGCTTGATGGAAACACCTGGTGGAGGTGGACTCCCTCCCCCACATTTACGTGCTGTAGTCAGGAAGCAGGTGGTAGTTGTCGTTAGCTACCATTGAGTTGATTTCAGACTCATGGTGACCACATGTGACAGTAGAACTGCCACGTAGAGGGGTGATCTGATTTCTAGGCTGTGATCTGTCCTGGTGTGACACTATAGGATATGCACTGGACTGCTAAACACAAGGTTGGCAGTTCAAACTCACCAGTTACTCCTTGGAAACCCTATACAGGGTTGCTCGACTCGACAGCACTTAACAACAGCAATCTCTGCAGAAGCAGGTAGGTATTCCTCTCAGGGAGCCACTGTTGTTGGTAAGTGCCATCAAATAGGTCCCAATTCATAGCAACCCTAGATAGGGTTTCCAAGGAGTGGCTGGTGGGTGTGAACTGCTGACCTTGTAGCTTGCAGTCCAGGGCTGATCCTACAGCACCATAGGAATCAAAGGAGCTACTGGATTGGGTACAAACCACCAATCTTTTGACAAGCACCAAGCTCTTAACCATCGTGCCACCAGTGCCTCTTAGTAAGGTAGGTACAGTACACTGATTTCTCATGTACAGATGGATGGATTTTACAAGTGTGTGCAATGTGCGGAGTCTGTGGGGGTGTAAACAGTTAATACACTTGGATGGTAAACCAAATCTTGGAGGTTCGAGTCCACCAATATACTGTTTTAGTACTTCGGGTTAAGGGACATTATTGTTGTTGTTAGGTGCCATCGAGTTGGTACCGACTCATAGCAACCCTATGCACAGCAGAACGAAACACTGCCTGATCCTGGGCCAACCTCACTACTGTTGCCACATTTGAGTCCATCGATGCTGCCACTTGGCCAATCCATCTCATTGGGGTTCTTCCTCTTTTTTCTCTGACCCTTCACCTGACCAAACATGATATTCTTCTCTAGTGACTGGTCCCTCCTGACAATATGTCCAAAGTATGAGAGACGAAGTTTGGCCCTCTTGGCCTCCAAGGAGCTCTCTGGCTGCACTTCTGTCAACATGGATCTGTTGGTTCTTTTGGAACATTATAGGTGTCCTCTTAAGTGTTTTGTAAGCCACCACCACTGTTACAGACAAATCTCCTTGGACTGACTTCAGAGACACTCAGTTGCCTTAGGAACTGTGTGGAACAGGACTGTGGTTCATGTAGCCATGCTCACAGTCGTCAGTGTGGCCTGTACTGCCATCTTACCGTCCACTAACCTTTTGATGCTTTGAAACATTGACCTTCATTTGAGCATTTTAAAAGTTTAATGAATCACTGCAGAAAACACCAACTATCAACTTTCTGGCTGTTCTTTTAAAATTTGATTTAAAAAATGCACTCCTCTGCACTTTTGAGTATCTTTTATATGTAAGTCTGGCTTACGTACACTACAAAAACATTTCTAACATTTCCGTTTTCTGTTATGACTTGATCACTCACTAATAATCAGATGGTTTTGTTTTGTTAACATTCCTTACCCTGGGCCTTGTATTTGATTGTGTCTTTCAGATTGGAAGCTGGAGAACTGGAAGAGGCTCGATGTCAGTCAGGTGCCATGTCCACTTAATCACTTCCCAACTTAATTTTCTCTCCCACTCAGATGTTCAGACAAAGAATCTGATAGAATATGTGTGTCGATAATATTAATAATTTTCTAAAGCATTTCAATGACTAAGGTGTCAGCGTGTGACATCCTCTGACATCACAATGGGGAGCAGGAGAATCACTGTCATCAGAATCAGGTGGGGACTGATTCCTCCGGGGCTGAGGTCAGTCTTGCCTCTAGCCTTCTACCCTCTCCTCAGATCTAAAACCAACCAGCCCTCTCCCACAGACCTCTCTCCTCAGCTGGCTTCTGTAATTCATTGCAATGGACACACAGAACTCAGAGCCCATACTCACAGTTAACAGGGTCTACTAGGGAAGTTCAGGAGCTCTGGTAGCGTAGTGGTTACAAATCAGGTTATGAACTGCAAGGTCAGTAGTTTGAAACTACCAGCTGTTCTGCAGGAGAAAGATGAGGCTTTCTGTTTCCGTAAAGATTTACAGCCTCGGAAACCCTGTACAGTGTCGCTATGAGTCGGAACCGACTCCACGGCCCATCACCGCCACCACCACTAGGGAAGTTCATTCAGGATTAGAAATGTTGAGGTAACTGTTATTCCAATCAAGGTCTCTTCTCAACCATACCCATGTGCAGGTGTCTTTCTGGCCCTTGGCCCCTTAGCTTGGCCTCTGCTGTGCTCCCAGCAATATTACAAAGCTCTCTGAGCACTGTTGATAGATACCCAAAGTGCTCTGCTCTCACTGTGTGGGTCAGCAAACCCACTCCACAAGTGATCCTCCATCCCAAAGCCTTCAGCGTGACTTGCTCTGTGGACTGGGAAGCCCACCTCTGGTGACACAGCTTTCTGTCCCTGGGCTGAGGAGGTTCTTTGTGCTGCAGACATCTCAGGGTCTAATTGATGTGCTCCACTCCTGGATCTTCTCCCTGGGTGGTAGTGAGCTAGTCCCCTGCCCGTTTTTCATAATAGCTCATTTTAAACTCAGCAGGATGGGCAAAATTGACCAGGTCCCTCATTAGAGTTCCAGGTTTGTACAATGACAATTAGTCTTGTTAACAGTCATTCACAACTGAACCCTATTATCCTATCAGCACCTTCTCCTAAACAGATCCATCAGGAAAAAAAGGTTTGGTGGGAGTTACAAAGATGATAGGTGTAGAAGAGCCATATGAAGTGATTCTTGGCATTGCACAGGGGAATCATTTTAATGCAAACAGTTTTCTCACATAGTCTTTCTTGTGTCAAAATCATAAAGCCTCAAGTGAAACTAAGAGAAGACTCCTCTAACAGCATGAATAATTAAAGAATTGTTATGTGAGTTGATAGCTGTGTGCCTGTTCAATTTCTGTGATTTCTTGTCATGATTATCTTGCTTAGTTGCTTTAAGCATAGATTTAAATCAGGCCCCTTACCTGTAATGTCTTTCTTTTGTTTTGTTTTGTTTTTGACATGTATTTTACCTTTAATTCCGTCCATCAGCCTTACAAGTGCAGTGGGAAAAAGTCACAATACAGGTTACTCATCTAGACACTTTATATCTTGGGCAAATGCATGGTCAACGTAGTAAAGTTAAATTTGTGACAGTGTCTGCAAACATGAAGTGTGGAATTGTCATTGTTGAGGACATGCTACCTTCACTTACTGCAGAAGGCTGAGACTGTGTTGTGGTGTGAAGTAGAAGGGACCATGGTCTAGTCTCATGAACGTTACCCTAAGAGCTCGGGAGTCTCTGGGCGTGTTTGAATCCTGGAGATGTGACGTGACCCAGTCTTTAGTGGAATCTCCCTTTGGCTGCTGTGCAGGGAACAGGTGAGAGGAGACAGGCAGTGGATTTGAGGAAGGGGAGAAGGCTGCGGGAGTCAGCCAGTTTGCTGGGGGATGGTATCGGTTCAGAGGGTAAAACGTGGCAAGTATTGAGCACCTTCGGCCATATTTGACAGTATCAACCTTAACATGGAGGTGAGAGATGTCTCTAGAAAGGGGCAGCTGGTGAGATGGAAGAAACTTCAGCTGAGGCCCAGGGGCGAGAGTGCTCCACAAGAGAGTGGTCTACACAGTGCGGCTGAGAGCTGCAGCCACAACCACAGGATTGTTGTTGCTAAGTGCCATCAAGTTGCAGTGACCCTGTACAGGTCTCTGAGGAGTGACTAGTGAGCTTGAACCGCTGACCTTGCAGTTCAGATCAACCTGAGGTCAAGTGCTTATTTATGGCGTCACACCACAGAGCCAGCCACCATTTACCTCAACATTTGTTACGCGCAGGTGCTTTACAAGTTGATCCTGTTTAACCCTGCTGCAGCAGTGCTGTTAGGGGGAAACGGTAACTTTTTTTTTTTTAAACTGATAAAGGAAATTGAAATGTTAAGAGAACTTACATATCTTGAACGAGGTCTCAGAGATTGAAGCCAGGGCATTCTGATTTCCAAACCCTTTACTACCTGGAAAATTATAAGGACTAGTATATAAAACAGTCGATTGGATTTAGAAAAATAAAGATTGTTAGCTTTCTCAGGCAGAGTGGCATGCAGAATGGTAAAGAGTTTGCAGTGGGCAAGGAACAGTGAGGATACTGGGAAATGGAGACTGAAAGTCTAAACAATTGATGTCTGCTGTAGAATTTGGGATCTCTGGGTTACATCATTTTTGACAATTTCCAATTTTCCTAGATTCATACTTCGTACATTCCATGTTCCAATTATTAATGGATGTATACAGCTGTTTCTCTTCATTTTGAGTTGTGCCCCATCAGCAAATGAAGGTCCCTAGGGCTTTACTCCCACGGGCTTTACTCCATTCAAGTCATCATGGTCAGCTCTACTTTGAGGAGGCAGCTCTTCCCCAGTCGCATTTTGAGTGCCTTCCAACCTGAGGGGCTCATTTTCCAGCACTATATCTGACAGTGTTTCTCTGCTGATCATAAGTGAATATTTCAGTGACTTAAATATTCGGAAGTAGTTCATCACTCCTTCCTGGTCTGTCTTTGTCTAGAAGCTCCTCTGAAACCTGTCCACCATGGGTGACCCTGCTGATAATTAAAATACCCATGGAATAGCTTCCAGAATCACAGCAACTAAACTACCCAGCTAAAGGGTACTATTGATTTTTTAAAAAAATTTTCTGTCTTGTTAGAACATCCTGTTGCATAATTCTGAAAAAACAAAAAGAACCCATAGAACTGTTATATAAGGTGGTCAAGTTCCTCGCTGGTAGAATAATTTTTTTCCCCCTCTCTAGTATATTCTTACATTTTTTGTCTCTTAATGGACTCCTGGTGTGGCACTGTGGGCTAATGCATCAGACTGCAAGGTTGGTGGTTCAAGCTTACCAGCGGCTCCTTGGAAACCTATACAGGGATGCTGTGGGTTGGAATATACTCAATGGCACTTGACAACAACAACAATGATCTCTTGCAGTTATTTTTCCTAAGCTCATGTACCTCTAGCAAATGACATTTTTAGAGATCCGCATCTAGTGTATATTGAATTGTTTCACAGTAATGGATCCTAACAAGTATAGTTAGGGTCTAAAATATCCTCGGGTGCCTGTGACTCCGGTTGCTGTTGGCACCTGTGGACTTCTTTTCTCATTGCAGGCGGATATTGCACCATTGATGGCTTCCTTGATTGGAGTGCCCTTTCCCCTTAACTCAGTGGTAAGGAAAAAAAAATCATTATCAATTCTGGGCTTAAAAATATATATATTACTCAGTAAAATTGGCACTTTTCTTTGTGTTTGTTTCAGTGGAAGCTTTGACAACATTTAAGACTGTCTTTGTCCATGTATTTTTATCTAAATCTGTAATGCTCTTTAACAGTGGGTTGTGTACTCTTTGCAGGGGACCCTCCCTGTGGACTATCTCAACAACACTGACCTCTTCAAAGCAGAAAGCATGTTCACAAATGCAGTCCAGATTCTTGAACAATTCAAGGTATAAGAACGCCTCATACTCGAAACCAACAACACTGCCATTTAAAAATCAAATATATTAAGTTAAAATATTGTATTTTGATTTTTAGTAAATGATTTTCTCTAATGGATTATTTAAAAGTTTGTACATAAAGTTACTCATTTCTCAGGTGCTGATTCCATCAGCCACGTTTCTTTGGGATTTGCCCCAGAGAAATAGAATTAGAGCTGACAACATTTCTTGCCATTCTGTGTACATTAGGGAGTTAAAGTGGTAATCCTGTAACTAACTGAACTCTCAGTTAACCGTCCTAATGCTGTCCATTCAGCTTGCTTTGCTCGTGAATGAAGAGTTCTAAGAAATACAGTTTTCACACATTATAGGAAGTTGTTTTACAGGCTTGACGTACTTCATTCTCAGCTTAATGTCATAGAAAGAAAATGTCAGTTTAAAAAAAAAATATTGATGAAATAGTATAGTAACACAAAATTTCATTTATTTTCAAAATACTTAGTCATCCCTGGAGAATGATTGTAATGGATGTTTATATTTCAAAATCAAATCAATTAGTTTGTTTCCTCAGTTCTAATATATTAAAATCTTTTCATATTTGGTTCCTAGGTGAAAATGACTCAGAAAAAAGAAGTGACATTATCATTTTTGTTTACTCCATTTAAGTAAGTCTCTTACTGTTTTTTATTAACTTGAGGGAAAGTGTGTATCACAGTCTATTGCTGGTAGGATAGATTTACTTAAAACTTGGTCTTTTTTGAGTGCCAGCTCCAAATTGTTTCATTGTTTTTGTTAAACTGTGGCCTGGATACCTCTGAATCTCTGCTAGGGGCAGTGGAAGGGCTGAGAGACTGTGAGGAATGTTGGAGAGGTGAATTGATAGATCTTGACTGGTTGGCTGGGAAGGTGTGGAGCAGTTGGGGAGAACTGGTTGATCAGGAAGGTACTGGTATATTATAGATCATAGAAGGAAGGGCTGGTCTGAGAGGCAAAGTGAACGTTACTAAGTTTAAAACTTACATTTGATGTTTGTTAGTGGTGCTGTGAGATAATGCACTAAACCGCAAGGTCGATTTCAATTGCAGGGTCAGTGGTTGAAAGTCACTAGCGGCTTCTCGGAAGCCCTATACAGGGTCACTGTGAGTTGGAATGGACTCAAGGGCACTTAACTATAGCAACGTTAGTGGATTGGAAAGAGCTTTGATTTCAGAATGAAGATGTGGGTTGGCCATGAAGATTTTAGAGCTACCAGCAGAAAGATGCTGATTGAACCTGTGTTGTAAGTGCCATCAAGTTGATTCTGACTCTGTGACACTGTATAGAGTTTCCAGGGTTGTAAATCTATGTGAGAGCAGAAAGCCTCATCTTCCTCCCGCAGAGCTGCTGGTGGACTTGAACCTTGTGGTTCACAGTACAGTGTTTATCCTATGGAGCCACCATGCTCCCTGGTTGAATCTGTAAGACAGGTAAATCACAAAATAATTTTTCATAACATTCAACAACTTGATTCTAAAAGTTGTATGGAAGAATGGCTCAAAAGTCATGTAACTAGCTTGAAGAAAGAAGAAGACAAGAGACTAGTACCTGTATGGGATTCGAGTTTGTAGCAGCCCTGCTGACCCAGGTCCTCAGTATGGCCAAACCGTTTGACTCCACCCTTCACTGTCATGTCTCAGGGATACAGCTGGGACTGTAAGAGAAGATGCTGTAGAGCTGCTGCCTGTTGAACCTGCTGTAGTAGAGAGCCAACGCCATTGTTTTGACATAGCCTCCCTCTACCCTCTTGAAGGCAGTGTACCCATTTCTCTCAACTCTTCCCCCCAAATTCTGCGTTCTTTGATTTACACTTTAAAACATTAGTTTTGGCATCCTCAAGTGACTTAAATCATGTTCCTTTGAAATGTTTTTTGAATTTTGGGCACAAACAGTATAAAGGGGCAAGATCAAGGCTATAGGGTGAATGGAGTAAGGTTTCCCAATGAAATGCTCATGAGACAGCTCTTGCTAACCTCAAAGAATGAACAGGTGTATTGTGATGGGATAAAGTTCCTCAGAACCACTTTTCTGGCCCTTTTCTCACCAATGCAGTTTCTGGTTTCTTAAAATTCCTTCCTAATAAGCCCCCATGACCATTCTGTGTCCTTCAAAAGCATTTATCAAGATGACGCCTTTGGAGTCCCAAAACATGACCTCCTGAGCTGACCTTTTACTTTGAATTGACCTGGCCCTACAGATCTCCTTGGAAGCCAGAGTGTGCACTGGACCTTTTCTTTGAAGGTGCCCTAAGAAAACTGAGATGATGTTTCGTTTTGTTACACTAAGAGCTGACTTGATGGCTTCTGGCAGCAACACTCTTCACAGGTCACTGGTTTTGTGCTTCACATATATCCATAAGTTATTGCTCAACCATAGGAAGGAGTTACTATTACTTACCCATTTTACAGGTCAGGAAACTAAGACAGGGAGAAGTTAAGTAATTTTCCTGACTTGATACAGTCTGTAAATAACAGAGCCAGGCCTCAAAATCAAGCAGTTCGTTAACTCTTAATTGGTACAACTGCTTTGTAAAGTAGTTTTATGAATGTCCAAGCCATGTGCTTAAGGAAATCCGTGTCTCCGAGTCTGTTCCACAGAAATACTTGTGAATGTGTAGGATTTTTTGTTACAGTGACAACTGGAAACAGATCCCCATTGCTAGAAGAGAATGTTAACAATGTAACAGCAGTAGTGTGAATTAGTATGTGCCGTTTGAGAATAGTCCTGGTGTGGCACTGTCGGATAAACAGTGGTCTTCCAGCTGTAAGGTAGGTGGTTCAAACCCATCAGCTGCTCCTTGTGAACATGTATACTTAACAACAACAACAAAATTTGAGAAGAACGAATTATATCTATAGATACTTACATAGGAAAGTTTGTAAGATAAATTGCTGAATGAAAGAAGCAAGTACACAAATATACCTCTTATCAGTCAGTTAATAAATTATAATGTTAAATATTACTTTATCAGTTAGGCATGGGGCCTTGCAGATCTTTGCTACATAAGTGTATCAATAATAATTATATTCCAGTCCTGGTGTGGCACTGTGGGTTAATGCGCTGGACTGCAAAGTTGGTTTGAACCAGTAAGTTGGCGGCTCAAGCTCACTAGCCGCTCCTCAGAAACCCTATACAGGGTCGCTATGGGTCGAAACTGACTTGACGGCACTTAACAACAAGAAGAACATGTTTAAGATTGGAACATGGTGGCTCTGTATAATAAGCACTAGACTGCTAATCAGAAGATCTGCTGTTCAAGCCTACCAGCTGCTCCATGGGAGAAAGATGAGGCTTTCTGCTCCTGCAAAGACTTAAAACCTCAGAAATCTGGTCCAGGGCTTTGCTGAGTTTGAGCTGAGTCCATTGCACTTGGCAACAACAACACAGTGTTTAAGAGTAGTCATACTATACAATTATATCAAGAAAAATTGGTACATAAACATTATAACACACATGAATATTGTCATACATCCATTTTGTAAAACAGTCCAAGTTCTTGTCAAATGTGTGTGAAGTCATTTCCTCTTGAATGAGTAACTGGATAAGAATACCAGATTGACTGCTTGTTCTTAGAACTGCATTGCGCACTCATCAGTTTGAAAAAATTCCTTAGGAGAATTTCACCATCATTGCTAGTGGACCTTAGTGATATGCCTTTAGATGACCAGCAGGTGGAGCTGGAAGACTAGGGGAAGTATGAAAGGTTTGTCTACTTGTGAAAGAACGAGTCCCACTCTGAAAACGGAGTGAAATGGTAAAACATAGAAAAGAAAATATAATTCTGTATTGATGAGAAAAAAGCAGAAGAGGTTTCTTAAAAGATATTAAATAAGAAATGAGATGAGCTCTTCTGCTCCTGCAAATATTCAAAAAAACAAGTCTCGGAAGCCCTATATAACGTAGCTGGGAGACAGAACCAACTCTATGGCTCTTAACTGCAACAGCAACTGACCTTTTATATGGAGATTATTATGTAAATTCATTTTAAATGTGTTTTCTGTTAAAATGACAAGAGATATTTTGTTCTTTTAAAGATTTTCCCTTAGAACAAATTTAATTTTCTCCTCCAAAACTATGGTTTATCATTGAAAACGGAGCTTCACGGTTCCCACGCATGCATTTCTTGAGTTCCGACATAAAGATGACCGTCCTGTAGGACTCTGCATCCTAGATGCGGGTAGTGTTTGTTGGGAAGTGTCACTGAGTTGGTTCTGACTCACAGCGACCCTGTATAGGGTTTCTAAGGATTGTCTGGTGGGTTTGAACAGCCGATCTTTCTGTTAGCAGATCAGTGCTTATCCTACAGTGCTACACCAGGTCCCATTGATAAGCAGTGTTGCTGTTAAGTCCTATCAAGTCAGTTCTGACTCACAGTGGCCCTGTATAGGGTTTCTGAGCAGCGGCTGGTGTATTTGAACCACCGACCTTGCAATTCCAACTGATCTTATGGTCCAATGCTTATCCTACAGCACACTAGAACTCATTGATGAGAGTAGAGGAATGCAAATTATTTTTAGAAATAATTTTTTAATTCTAGTTTGTCTGTATCTGTTTGAATTATTTCCCCTTTTAATCTGAAATAGTAAGTCATGTGTATATTTTGCTGTTAGTGCCATCGAATCAGTTCTGATTCGTAGTGATTCTGTATAGGGTTTCCAAGGAGTGGCTGATGGGTTTGAACCGCTGACCTTGTGGTTCAAACTGACCTTGCTGGCCATTTTGCAGTGCCACACAAGGACCCCAGTCATGTGTATTTTCAAGTGAAAAATACTTTGTAACAGAAGTCAGAGTGAGGATGCTTTGGTACTTCTAGTTGGGTTACAGTTGAAGACTAGCTTGTCCTTCAAACACTGATTTACCTTGAGGAATTGATAAAAAATCCTCGATAATCCTAAAACTTGGTTTACTCTTTTCTTCCGTGTTTTACCACAAAAGCAGACAGAATAATAGCCATCAAATCAAAGTACACAATTAAGACCATACGCGCTTCTCTTTTTGGTTTTACTTAAGCATAATATCTTGATTATAGATTCTTTTCAAACTTGATGTTTTCAACATGAAAGGTTCAGTCAACAAAGGAATTAGGAATTTTTTTTCTCATAGACTACTTACTATGTAGATATGTTGTCTTTCAATCACATTACCTTTCAAATTAGCGATCTTATTTATTCATATCTGAAATCATGAGTAGATTAAGGGGAAAACTAACACGGAAAAATCTTAACTTTGATTTTGGCAAACTGCATGTGTATTAATATCCTCGAGTTGCTGTGACACATTGCCAAAGTGAGTGACTGAATACAACAGAAATTTCTTCTCTAAGTCTGGAGGCAAGGAGTCCCAAGTTCGTGTCAGTCAGTGGGCTGTACTCCTCTAGAGGCTTCAGGGAAGAATCCTTCTTTACCTTCTCCTAGCTTCTGGCGGTTGCCAGTAGTCTTGGCTTGTAACTACATTACTTTGTGCCTTTATGTTGTTGTTGTTAAGTGCCGTCGAGTCGATTGCGACCCATAGCGACCCTGTACAGGGTTTCCGAGGCTGTAAATCTTTACAGGAGGAGAACGCCTTATATTTCTCCCATGGAACAGCTGGTATATCAAGGTTGTTCCTTGATATAAAGAATCCTGAAGAT